CATGCTGACGTTACGATGATTGGTATGCGTTTCAGTTAGAGGAGCAGGCCATGTTGGATTTGAGCGACCGTACTGACCACAGGAAATGGACACAGCAGCATCTGGATGCAGCTGACCTGCGTATTGCGTCCATTGCTCCTACGCCTCCTCAGGGAGAAATAGAGAATGATTGCATGGATGTGAACGTCAGAGGACCAGGTGTGTACACTTGTTATTGGATGATTTACAGAATATCATGAAAAAAAACCTTAAAAGATTTTTGAATATTCCATGAACACTGTCAAAGACATTACTGGGAACTTATTATGATCTTCTCCGTTTCCTCTTTCAGATGGTTTCACTCCCCTGATGATTGCGTCCTGCAGCGGTGGAGGACTGGAGACTGGTAACAGTGAAGAGGAAGAGGATCCCTCGGCAGAAATCATCTCTGACTTCATTTACCAAGGCGCCAACCTCCACAACCAGACCGACCGCACAGGCGAGACTGCCCTCCACCTGGCCGCTCGCTACGCCCGCTCTGACGCTGCAAAACGCCTCCTTGAGTCCAGCGCCGATGCCAACGTTCAGGACAACATGGGCCGCACTCCGCTTCACGCTGCTGTGGCTGCAGATGCGCAGGGAGTGTTCCAGGTAGCCTCTTCCTCCGCAGGAGTCTTATATCTCTCCTGGCTTTTGTTTTCTGAACAAGTTTGTCCAGCAGCTTAGAAGCACTTAACTAAACAAATCTGTGTCCTTGCAGATTTTAATCCGAAACCGCGCCACCGATCTTGACGCCCGCATGCACGACGGAACGACACCGCTGATTCTGGCAGCCCGATTGGCAGTCGAGGGCATGGTGGAAGAGCTTATCAACTGCCACGCCGATGCTAACGCCACCGATGATTCTGGTAGCTAACGCTTTATCAACTCATCATCTCCACAGTCTATAAAGATCCCTCCCAGTGTGCTGAGCTGTTATGATAATCAACCCTCAACATGTTTACTCTCTCTGCAGGTAAATCAGCTCTTCACTGGGCCGCGGCTGTAAACAATGTGGAGGCTGCTATGGTGCTGCTAAAGAATGGTGCCAACAAAGACATGCAAGACAACAAGGTATTTGAAATGTGACTGTGATGATGCAATATGAGAAGTATTGACACAGTTACAATGACATTAGTGTATTAAGTGGGGTTTTTTTCTTTCGCTTTTTAGGAGGAGACACCAATCTTCCTTGCAGCCCGCGAAGGAAGCTTCGAGACAGCCAAGGTTCTTCTGGAACACTTTGCCAATCGCGAGATCACCGACCATCTCGACCAGCTGCCCAGAGACATCGCCCAGGAACGCATGCACCATGACATCGCCCGCCTTCTGGATGAGTACAACGTGGTTAGGAGTCCCGGGCTTCACAGCGGCCCCCTAAGCACCTCCAGCCTCTCGCCGCCGCTCTGCTCCCCCAATGACTACCTTAGCAACCTCAAGCCCACGCTGTCCGTCAAGAAGGTTCGCAAACTCAGCGCCGGCGGCAAAGGAGGGAAGGACGGGTGCAAAGATAATAGAATGAAGAAGAAAAAGTCCCTGGATGGAAAGGGTAACTTGCTAGACACGTCAGCTGTCCTCTCCCCGGTTGATTCCCTCGAGTCACCGCATGGCTACCTGTCCGATGTGGCCTCTCCTCCCATGACATCCCCCTTCCAGCAGTCCCCTCCTATGTCACTAAATCACCTACAAGGCAATGGAGACCATATGGGCCAGATGAGCATGGGTAAGGATATGGGCCGTATGTCTTTTGACCCTAACCCTCCCCGTCTCTCCCACATGCCTGTGTCCAGCCCCGGCAGTCAGGGCACAACATCCATAGGTGGCAGCAGAGGAGGCCAGTGTGACTGGATCTCCAGGATGCACCCAGGTGTAGGCCAGCAAGGAGGCTTCACCCAGGCGCCACCCATATCCCACAACATGATGGGTGCTCTGCATGGCGTCAGCACTGCCACCCTGTCTCAGATCATGGGCTACCAGAATTTGCAGACCAGCCACCTCGGCTCGTCCGCACACATGATGCAGCAGGCTCATTCGCGGCAGCTCCAGCACCAAAACTCTAACTCCACCACAGCTGGCCAATCCCTCACCCAGAGCTTCCCAAGCGTCGAGCTCAACGGCTCAGACATGCAGCAGAACAACGGCCGCTCCATGCCCATCCACACCGTCATGCCACAGGAGACGCAGATCCTCGGCAACCAGTTCCTCACCCCTCCCTCCCAGCATAGCTATTCTGGTCCCATGGACAACACACCTAACCACCAGCTACAGGTACCCGACCACCCATTTCTAACTCCCTCCCCCGGCTCCCCCGACCAATGGTCCAGCTCGTCCCCACATTCCAACATGTCCGATTGGTCGGAAGGCATTTCAAGCCCGCCTACAAGCATCCATTCGCAGATGAATCTGATCCCAGACCAGTTTAAGTAGAGACTTGTAACATGGAAAGAACACTTTAGTGGGAAAAAGAATATATACAAAGAAAGTCCATAGAGGAAGAGAGTGACAAACCTGTCTCAAGACTGAAGATGCTCCTTTTCTATTATCAGTTTTGATACTAACGATAAGAACAATTTTAGTTATTTGTATTTATTTATGTACTTTTTCTTTTTTTTTACCTGAAATATAAAGAAGATGCTTTTATATTTATGCTTTTTTTATTTTTTTGTTCTGTTACGTATGAGAAGATTAGAAACTGTTTAAAAGGAGTGTATATCAGAAAGAAGACTCCTAGATGTGTACACTGGCTATTTATTTGTGTCTCGTGTTGCTATATTCACTGGATTTATTTTAATTATTTTGGTCTTCACAAATTTTTATTTTTCTGGATTCGCATTGCTTTATGTTTGTACATATTTCGTTTTCAACTTTTATAGATTATTTTAAAAATGTTCAGTATTAATTAATTATATTTTAACCTCTTTTGTCCTTTTTAAATGACACAGATTTTGTTACTGAACTACATTTCACTAAGTCTTATCACTGAGTCTGTTAGATGATGATCAAATATATATATATATTTATATATATATAAAGTCACACCTTTCATGATGTTGCTTCCTACACTGTGCCTTAGTGGCAAAACGATAAAGAGAGTAACTGAGCGAAGGAAACGGAGACCTTAAAGCACAGAACAAATATCCCTTATGAGTTGAGAGATGCTTCTCAAAATGCATCTTAATCAACGTGAGCCTGTTTTTTCATTGAATAATGGTCTTGGCTGGTGCTGAGCGACTGATTTGTGATACTTTATGAAGCAAGGACTGTTTCTTCTTTTCATATTGTATCCCAAATCAGCAATTATGGTTACTAGGTTTAACCTGTTAAGTGTTAAATTGCAGACCTGTTGTAGAAACGTTGAAATGTTACATTCGCCACAGTTGAAATAGTTCCAGTGTGAATTTGTTTTTTCCGAAGAAAATCAACGTATTTTTGTGAGATTTCTTTTCAAAGAAATGTCTGAGTTGGAGAACATTGTTTGTGAAAGAAATGGGGACCTTTGTTTGTGTGGTAAACGACGTCACCTGCACTTTGTGTAGTTCAAGGTGTCGAAATGTCATGTTTTATAAACTAATTCAGAGATAAAAGATGTTTTTAAAGAAAAGATGTAATGTTCATGCAAAGTTGTAGTTTGCAAAGAAGTATTTCCTGATTCAAATGTTTTGTAAAAATTGTCTTCATTCAATAAAAGCTGCTGTCAAGCTTTAAGAAATGGTTTCCTTTCTTCTAATTTTCTTTTTTCTGAAATGTGATGTGGCTGACATTGTAGCCGCCTCATGTAGTTCATCAAAGTGAATGCAACATTTTTTACATTCATATGAAAAGTAAACGCACTCTATCGCCAAAGACATTGGTCTGCGAGGCCCTCCGGTGGTGACAGCCTGATAGTACCACAGTGTGGACAACGTCACTGCTGTTGCTAAAAATCATTCCAGTTAATTTCGGCTGAGCTACTGCTCTATGCATTTCATATCTGTCTGCTTAGCTGGTTGCATTGTTATCTATAGATTAAAGCCACTGACTATGTGGAAACTTGCAATGTTTTCAGCTGAAATTGAAATTTACAATGTCTGGAATAGGGGGCTTTTGGTGATGGTGGAGATAAGTGTTGCGTACAACATCTTTTATAGAAATATTCCATCAGCCTTCACAGGTTTTCTGGAGGACTTTCATATCCTTTTAATATGGATGATGCAGTCTCAATCTGCGTACATCCTCTAACATTCTCATTATTCGTAATACCTGGATTCGATTTTGATTGATGAGCATTAAAGCTCAGTTGACCGCTGACCAGACAACCCAAGTATTTAGCATTATGATAGATGCTGTGTATGTGAAAGTGGAGGTGTATATATGTGTGAACTGTGATCTATCGATACAATGCTAATGCAAAAAAGAAATGGTAATTGTACTAGTCACCAGGAGTAGCTACTATTCAGCCTATATATGTAGGAATTGTCTAACAAGGTGGAACAGATGAATATATTAGTCAAGCACTTTTTAAAGTAGGTATTTTTTCTTGTATTTATCTTATAGGTTACTGTTACTTGCCATACCTCCTATAGTACATGTTTTACACAGATGCAGTGCCTGTATTTCAGTGATGAAATATTGGGGGAAAGAGCAAAGCTTTTATTTGGAAAAATATCATTAAGTTAAACATACGTAGAAATAAACAAATTATATTTGAGTATACATTGCCATGATTTGAGTTTGAGTAAATTATTGAATTAATTTGTTCTTTAATCTTGAATCAATGCATTCATATGAATATTTACTTCTTTCTGTCGAATTGTCTTCTTTGTTCATTTAATACTAAACACTTTTGGGCTCCATGTCCTTCATGGACTTTATGGTGCAAGTACAATACTCTCGGACAGTATTGCAGTATCACCAGTAGTGTGTCACACACAGGCAGTCGGATCAATACCACACCAGTGCTCTCTGTCCCAGTACAGGCACACAGCGCCCCCTGTAGGTGAACAGGTGTGCAGAGGATAACAGTCGTCCCCATAGAGACAGGCTCCTACAACACCGTTAGATCCGCTAGTCCTCCCTCAGAAGCGATGACAGCCTTAATATGAAACAGCCGGCTATCGGACATTAATCATTTCCTCGAAAACAGACTCCCGGATGTTTGCCAAACAGATTTTTTATTATTGGATTAACGACCATCAGCCGGCAGCCGCAGCTTTATCCTGAGAGGCCGGAGGTTTGTGTCTCTCTGCAGGGAGGAGTCCTCTTGTTATTTCACCGCTCGCTGAAGCCAGGCCAGCATGTCGGCGTTTTAACAACCACCTCTCAAACACAAAGCTGCAGAGAGCAAACCCAATGCGCTCTTAAAGGTGGGTCTTTTGTTGTGTTCGTCTGCATAGATGTCTCAGTGTGTGTGTGCGCAGTTTAGCTATACAGCTAACCTAGCTTTTAACTTAATGGTGCTAGGTTTGGTGTCAGGTCATTCACTGGTCAGCCTTTTAGTCCAGCCTCGACAGGACCGAGCTAGAAAAACACAGCTGCCGTCGAAAGATGCTATTGTTGTCTTTAATATCGGGTAGATAAACACAAAGCATTTCTAATTTATGTCCAAAAGTGATGCTTTTATTACACTCCAACCTAACACATCACCAGCTGGAACAAGGTGCAGAGAAATGGTGTTCCCCCCCCGGCATTTAAAAATACATATGCTCGTGGCATAGGAATCGTGGTACCACCACCTTAAGCAATGAGAGTCTATGTAGTATTTCATCATCATCGTCAGTGGAGCAGGTGCTGTCAGTGAGGCCACAGGCCCCTGCTTGTTGTTGTTCTTCATGCCGGTGATGTAATGCTACTCCTGTGCCATGATGTTTTTGTGTCCCTCCGTGCAGGATGGATGTGGAGGTGAGTGCTGGCAGGGACAGCACCTGGAGGAGAGCAGCAGCAGCAGCAGCAGATGATGATGCGGGTGGAGGAGGCATGGAGGCTCAGGTCGTACCGCCGGAGCTCTACGACTCTGCAAGAGCCAAAATAGACGCAAATCTCCGCTGGTTGTTTGCCAAAGCTTACGGTATAGGTAAGGCTTCCTCTGTTGAGACTTTGAGTCTTGTTAGTTACATTATGCTTTTGTTTATTCATTTATTGGAGCAAAATAATCTGCTTTGCATGGGTATGTCTAGTAGCCCAGGAGTGGCTTCCTTATCTGTGAAGAATATCAGCACCTGCACATGGTATAGCCTATATTATGGTATTTGTGCAAATATAGACTCAGTTCTGTAGTTGCATGAATAATTAGCTGGATGCAAATTCTGTTAAGTGAGCTGGATTGATTGCACCAATTACTTTTCTGGCATGCTATCATGCTATCATGCTATCATGGAGAGCAACAAAAACAAACAACACGCCTGTATAAACAAGATAACAACAGAATGTTTACCAACCTATATCTATATCTTTATCAAAGAGCCTGGCTATTATATCGCACTACTTGTATTATAAGCTGATATACTACAGGCCTGGTATCAATGAACATAGAAGTACAGTACATAATGCAGTCATGCATGGGTACAGTACAACTGCATGAGAGGATTTAGTAATGGTAGCAGATATATATGTTGTTTTTGTAGTATTTTGCTTTTAATATAGAGAGTTTAAAGGGAAGAAGCAGACGGTAAACATGGGGAGGGAGAGACGGCGGTTACACTTAGCTGAAAAGATGAGTCAAATATGATTAGTCAAACTAAAACAAAACAAAGGTGTGATTGTAAACTGAATGTTTTGAGGTTTTGGATAAAACAACTTTTCTTCCCTGACATCAATGAGTCGAGACAGCAATTAGCAAATTAATTGATATGAAAATAGTCATTATTGCGACCTTATAGCAGAGTATTAGTATTACTAGCTGGTATACTTAGATAGTTGATAGTAATTCGATTTATAAGTTGTCACAAATTTGTTGAGTATCATATAGATTGTCATTTGCTTTCTTTTCACTGTAAAAATGTAAACAACCTTCCTGAGAAAAAGACAGCAGCATAGCTACAGTCCAGACCTTCATGTTAGTGAGTGAAGACCTAGACCGACATCTCACGATCAGCCAAAGTCTTTTATACACGGGTCACTAGCCTTCCCAGCTCTGACGAGGTCTCCTTAAACATTAAAAATGATTGCGCTTCATGGCCGGGCTGCAAGTAAATGTCTGGAAATGACTCCTTGAATGTGGGTTTTTGTGTCACTGGCTGTTCCTGCGAGCCTACCAGTCTCCGTGATTGTATCTTATCAGCATGACAATTAGGCATTTGGAAGGAGACACAGAGACAAATGGAAAACGCTACATCATCATATTAATTTTATGAGCCAGATATACTGTAAGTGTTCACTGCCTTGCAGTGCTGTCTCCTGTTTTGCAGAGGATGACTCAGTAAATGGACTCTGAGAGGGAAACAAAACCCTAAAAGTTAAAGCTCGTAATGTGTAGTGAGGTTCATAGCATTAGATTGGATGGCATTAGAATATAAATGAAGGATAATAAAATCTGACACACACACCCGGTATTGCACCATATTATCGTGATTGATATCACACGACTCTCCTAACAGCTGGAGCATTTTTAAGCTTAGTGCCAACGTTGGAAGTATCGTGAGCTTTACCTCCCTGTTACCCAACAGGGCAGAGATCCGATGCCCATAATAAACACCAAACCATCACCTTTCCGCCCTTCAAGCTTCCTTCTTCCCTTAATCTGATTGGCCCCGTCCTGGCATCAGATTGTGCCAGAGGCATTTCATGCAGGAGACTGATTTCTTGCACTAACTACACTAACTTAACTTCTTTTTCACACACAGTGGCGTTCTCTCACGTCTTACTGTCTTATGCTTACTTATTCACTGTTGTCATCACAATGACGCAGGGCCAAAGCTGATATGAGATTTAGGTTCAGGCAGGAATGAATTGTTCTGGTTAGCAGGCTGTGATAATGTAAGACAGCTAACTGAGTGGAGCTTATGAATATATTTTATAACTAAAAGCTTTAGAATGCTACTCCACGTTAATCCTATAATATCTAACACTAACCAGCCCAAAACGTATATATGTTGTGTTGATGTACAGCGTGTCTGTTTGTTTACTGTGATACAGTCTCTGGTCATTGATAGTCAGTGTGGAGGTCAGAGGAACCAAAACAGTCTTTATCAGATTAGAGTGCAAACCAACCGACACAGCGGTGCTGGGAGGACTGTGTTGTCTGCGTGTGCAAAAGTCAGCATAGCCAGTCACATGTTTAAGTGGTTAATGGGATTGGACCTGAAGGCGTGTGTCTTTGTCCAACGCAGCCTTTTTGTTGAGACTCATGACAGTTTTTATAATGGCTTGAAGAAAATGGCAAACAAATTCATGCATGGCTTGTTTATTTACTGTATATTAATACGTGTATGTAAGAGTGTGTGTTATGTTGCTAGTGGTATTTTTGTACATAAACAAAGCAATAAAATACCATTAAATCAAACATGAAAACTACATGATGAGTATGATGATGTTTCATAACTGAGTGCTTGTTCAAGAGCTACACACCGAAAGTAGGAGCTTCATTAAACTAAAGAACATGACGGATTGGCTGCATACACCAGCCTTCTTGTTTTTTTTCCTGCAAGGTCAGACTTATAAGTGTGCCTACTGGGTGCATTGGCTTAGAGGCTGTGTTTCCCCAACACACTGTCTACAGGAGGATTCTCCATTAAGCCTTC